AGCCTTCATACTTGGCCCTAGGTCAATGCAATTTGTTTAGACAATTGCCGCGTTGCCCAAAACTATCCTCAGAGGTGTATGGCCTCGTCTAGCACTCCGTTGTCGCATCAGATTGAACGACTTCTCTAGATTGTTTTCACTGAAACCATGGCTCGACGTTTACCTGCCGTAGGTCAGTGAATTTACAAGACACATCTACATTTCTTACATGAAACGATCTACTATTCCCTTTTCTATATCCACACAAAGTTTGGCATGGCTATGCCGTGCTGTTCGGAAATCATTCCGGAAGAAAATGCGGGCTTAACTTGACCCCAGCCCGAATGTGTGTTAACTGGAATAGACGCCAGAAGCTACTGGAGGTGCGATTCCATTTGCAGTTTGGAGTCAATGAACTGAAATCAGTAAGTGTTAAATAGGCAACACCGTTTCGCCATATGCAGCGAAGTTTACCTTTGCATTCACTTATAGGCGAGGATTTGGCATGACATTGACTATTAACGTGAAATCAGGTCTTATCTTTCTCAACGACATTAACTTCAAGATAATCTGTTCATCTTTAGGGCATCTTTTGATGCCGCACGACCCTGGCTGAAAGCACCTTTACGTACTGAGTTTGCGTGAACAGGGCATAACTCACACATGGCTGAGTATTGGGCGGAAGATGCTTCACACTCTTTGCGTGTTGTGACCGCTCATTTTACACTATTTGTACTTTTGGACACAATTTGGAAAACCCACAACAGCGAGAAGCCCAAATAACGGCGACATAGTTTGGGAGCAGCCCGCTCGCAAATCTCAGGAGCAAAAGCAACGATGCCCCGCGTTGCAGTCTCCGAAGGCCGCGAGGTGTCGGCGCTGTGTCTGCTGACGGCGGCGGCTAACGGCCGTACAAGAATGGTTACAGATCTAAGAGAAGTACCTTTGAACGCTTTGGAATATCGATTCGTACGTTTAGAAAGTACCTCGGCCGGCCTTGATGCTTGCGGCATTTTTAGATTGATAACAGGACGGGATTAGCATTGACGGCGCCGTTAATTCTCGCTGCAATCTGGTGGTGGAACTGGAAGAGCAAAAATACTATATTTATGTTGCATATAGATGTAACTGACAAGTGACGTACACACCCTAGTCTCTATTCTATGAACAGTACGGCTTGATTGTGAAATAGCCTTCGGAAGCATGACCTCAGGACGGCCGTTCCCGCGCGCCAGGCGGCCACCACCTGGTGTTAACCGCAGCGGCCAACGGCATTCGGTTTTACAAAGACTGCAAATCTGACCATCGATTCTCTTGGTCCTGAGACTGCGGGCGCACAGGCTCAAACACCAGGAAGACGGGAAGACTGCTCAAAATTCGTGGTTACGGATCGACTGCCGGCCTTCATATCCCAAATGCCCTGATCGGCACACAAGGCCTTGTGATGGATACTTGCAGGCCGGGGCCGTTGTTATAGCCTCAGCTCAACCCTTTGCCCCCCCCCCCCTTCTGCTCAACCCTTTCAGTTAGGAAGGGGTCCGTTGTAGGTTCAGAAAGGTCTCTGTTGGGTCTAGGGTGGCCCTTAATAGACCCAAAAAGCCCTTATTCATCAGTGGACTATCCATTCTAGGCTGAGAAAGTAAACATCTCACGCGTCGAAAGGCCCCTCTCACCTCTGAGGCCTGGGATTGCCCGATGTCTAGTTAAACTCAGAAATGGCCCATGTTGTGTCTGGAAGTATCATTTATTTCATCCCCAGAAAACCGGCATGTAAACAGGGGCGCATAAACTATGCTCAAATGTGGTGGAGGCGGGAGGGTGGACTCGAAATGCCAAAATTAGCCTTCTAAGATTTGACAGTGAATTTCCAAAAGCTCGAACTGACTCTGTACAGATCTAAATTAGAGGCCACTGGTATATGGCTGAGGCTTAGGACATTTTTTTTCACATACCGCACCCACAGTCCCGCGAGGGAGACGACGGCTCGGGCCATCTAATATAGCATGGTTGAGCCCGTAGTCATAAAACACTGCATAACGCTCTTTTACTTCACATCAACAGGTTAAGTGACCATTGATTAGATAATCAAATATTACTTATCTAGACCTTTCACTCCATGCACAGCACCAAATTCATACTCTGGAGAGAGACTTACGGAAGAGCGGGGAGAGTTGTTGGAGGAGGGGGCTCGAAATAGCTCACAGCGCAATTTTGCAGCTACTAATTTGATAGCAAAATGACAGTAAAATCAATCAGAATTTAGAGCTCAGTCTCATCGACATCACATCCCTCAATTCCAAGGCAGTGTACATCTAATCAGTTAGTGGAGCTAGGAAACTACCACAGGTGGCAAACCGCTCGAGACCCCGCTAAGCTCCTGGATAACATTGAAACCCACTTATCTGACCGAAAATAATGTTTGCAGAACATGGTTCAGAGACCACCAGAACTTATGGCATTAGCACACGTCCAGGGAGGGGGAGGCGGTCAATTCACTCTTCCCGAAGATTTGGAACAAAATCCGATTGGTGTCGGCGTAGCCGCGCCAGCCTTACTATGCAAATCTGTGGGCAATTTAAAGTAGATATTTGTATGTAAAGATAGATGTACGTTGTAAGGCTGCTGACCTATGGTGGGTCAAATTCAGACCATGGCTGTCAGCGAAGGCAGTTTCGAGGGAAGCGCTCAATCGAACGCGACAATGGAGTGTGAGACGAGGCCATACATCTCTAAGATAGTTAATCTGGTGATGCAAGGATTAAATTTAGGATAAAAGTAAACTTCATTGACCTAGAGTCAGGTACAAATGTCAGGCCAAGGTTTAAGCCAGCCTGTTTTTTTTCCTCGAAGGCCTTCTGTATGCGGTAGTTTCTGGTGCTCATTTCGAATTTACTAATACCAGGGACAACAGGAGACATATTGCATCGACTTATTTACGGTCAGAGTAGGCTACTGACCTGCAATGACACGGGCAACATTTTGGTTTCAGGAGCATACCGCCTAGCGTAATCACTGATGCTCATTCAAATGCAAAAATCCAAACAACGACGTAGCATTTTGGGAACCATGACTAACTGAAGGTCAAGAAGATCACTGACTGTAAATGAACGGTGGTTCGACCTTTGGTTTTAAACAGGTATCTGGGTTCAAGGTGGTTAAATGAGAAGGTCTGGGGGTGCATGGGATGCCAATGTTTCTATTTTGTGACTCTGGTGGCTTTAGCTCTCGTAGAGTTTGAGATCTCAGAAGTAAATTGCCCCCCTCCCCACCCGAGCGAATGATATTCAATCCGTGTGTGTTGAATTCGTTTGTATTAAACGAAAATGAAGGGTCTTTCTCATTCACGCGTGACGTTAGAAAACGCAAAGGAAAATTCACCTGCGGCAAAAGTTATCGTGACGGGGCAGTGCTACGCACTGCTGTCAGTGTTAAGCTCCCCCCTGCCTGATTTTAAATTCAACACTGTCCGCTCTTTAACCGGTCTGATTCACTCCCGTAGTGGCCAGAAGTTCAGCATAAGGTAGCTGTCAAGATAGCTTACAAGTCCATATCGTCATGCGACAACTGACAGTTGAAAGACGTTCTCGACATAAATTAACTTGTTTGATCAAAGCTTGTATGCTCCGACGGCAGGTAAACGTTATCAGGCTATTATACTAGGAATTTTGTTTTTCGCTCTCGGCTCGACCATTATCAGGTGTTTTGAGATAAATGTGCGCATAATGCAGCAGTGAAGATGTTAGATCTAAACGTATGCGAGGCCTGCAATTCTTTGCTCGGAGTACCCCGACAAAGGACTTCCCTACATACCGCAAGGACCGACTGCGCGCCGTAGGGGAAAGGTTAGCTGATTTGGATCCGGGTACGCTGGGTAACAGTCCCAGAAAAAAAAACGAATTGCTTTCCTAGTGGCTTTCTGGCTGGTGATCAGAGTCAACCGAGGTCGGGACAGATGTTTCGTAGCCTTGCACGACATGAAAAACCCTCCGATTGGTCTTGTCCGGAGAAATAACCGCAGATAAGATCATCCGCTTAACTGAAATTAACGTATTGGGTGGACGTTGTAGGGTACAAAGGGTAGGCTATGGTTCACAAAAGGTAGTATGGGTTGCAAAACAGTGCAAGCCATTGAGATAAAATTCTAAGAAAGAGCGTATTGAATGTGACTGCATTGGACGGATTTCGAGGTCTTAACCTACGCTAAGCAGAGCATTGCTGTGTCAAGCCGAGCTGACAGGCCATCCGATGGTAAAATCCCAGCTAAACAGTAAAGCTTTAGGTGGCAGAAGCTTAACGTGTCAGAGTGCTCATCTTGGGACATCCTGCTGATCTTGGGTGAACACTGACCCCGGTGGCAGGGCATTCCAGTCAGGGAGGAATAGAGAGCACCGGAGCAGCTCAAACCTTTATATAACCTAACCACCATGTCACAGCTGAATTGAGGCAGGCGCTGTAGCTCACTGAGATACGATGGTGGTCAGTCGCTGAATTTACGACTAAGCTGCTTTGTTGAATTGAAGGGGTCCGTCGGCTCAGAGGCCTTCGGTTTGGCCCCTTCGTCGCAGCGATGGGTTATTTTATTTACTTGGAGGAAGAGGTGGCTGCAGCCCGCTCCCTTCTCCAACTTGAACTCCAGTCGCTCAACTTTGGAAAAAATACGGGCCAAATCTGGGGAGAAACTTGTTTGTTGGCATATTTGTTATGTTTGTATTATATGTTGTATTATATGTTATGTTTGCATTATATGTCGGTTATTTTTCACTGTTCAGCTCCCATATCCCACTCATTTCGTGAAAATACGTCACTGATTGCAGTGGATGACAATCAGATAATACTCAGATAACAATAGCTCGAATTAAAGAAATCACGATGCTGCGTGCATAAGTATGGCTGTGATGTAAGGCTACCACATCAAAAGAAAGGGCAAGGGAATATCTTATGAGCTTGGTATGACTAATTTCACTACACCTTCATTTCCTTTGGCCTTGAATGCGGCGTATGTCTGATCCGCCGCCCACAGTTTTGGGCGATGCGGGAAGTGCGGTACAACAAACGGTGCGATACGGGGAGTTGGCGCCGCCTTGTTTGATCCCGGGATACACGATTAGATATCGGCGGTCGGGCTGAGTCTTCGGTAACATTGGAATCAAAATAGGGTTCAGAGACTCAATCATGGGGTTGTTTGGGAGATCAAAGGAGCCTGACCCAAAGGAACAGGTAAAGGATTAGCTGAGTGCATCACTTGCGAAACTTGATTTGTTAGTGCCTACTTCGTTAGCTAGGCTACATTGTTATTTTGGTTATATTCTAAGACCTCTGTTTGTGTATTTTGTAGCGCTGGACTAAAGGCACCATGGGAATGGACGCTGTTCGTGGTATGCTTGAAATTTGTCTTGCATGTCTTGCATGACTTGCCGCAGCAATGTTTTCAGGGCATGTATGCCAGATGTCTGAGCATCCAAGTGTAGCCCATGGTTGCTATCAATTTCCATTTGTGTGTCACAAGAGCTAGTGTTCTAAAGGATTTATTATGTTGCAATGGTAATTTTAGGCAACTCACTGTGAGGAAATATGTATACACAAAATAGTAGGGCAATTCTGCTTAATTTGGCTTGGTGTGAGCTCTGTACACACAAGTGTTAGGTTCAGTGCACTGCTGTTGCTTGGTAGGTTTGAGCACAGTTGATGGATTTTTATTTTTCATAATGTCCTGTAGGCCAGACTGCAAAAAAATGCACATGAGAACATGTCATGCATCCCAACATAGCAAAATCTGAGAACTTCTTCAGCACACATGCATCTTACATCTCATTGCCCAGAGTTTGGTGCATGGTTAACACCAATTTCACTGCATGGGTGGCCAATTTTTAAGGAATTGTGATATTTTAAAGGTAATTGCAGGCCACAATACTCTGAAAATGATTTAAACCCAAAAAGTTCTGTGGAAGTCTGTGAAATTTGGTGTGGCCAGTGTTCAACACATACAAGCACAAGGTGTGATGCTCTGTTGTGACATAGGCATCCTGCAGTCATATGGGACAGTAGATGTTTTTCAGACCAGTCTGAAGGCACTAGGCACCTGGCTAGAGCCAAGTCTACAAAAGTCTATGTACTGCACAGGATGCTTATATTGGGTCAGTGCGTGGGCCCTGAAGCAAGCATCTGCTCATATCTGGCTGGGTCAGCTTGTGCTGAATTTGTAAAAACAGTGCCTAGGAAGTATTCTAGGTATTTTTTATTATAAAAATTTACTCAAGCAACATCACATGCATTGAAGCTGAGATCTGAGGGCACAGAGAACACCTGCTGTAATATTTGGGGTGACATGTATTTTTCAGCCTGGTTTGGAGCCTGATTGTCAGTTTTAGCCTTTCCTGAAGGCTATCCCAGAGTTTGACTGCCAGGTCGATTTGGGCCCTGGAAGCTTTGCGGGCAGTATTCGCTTGCTTATCAAGCAGGTTTCTCAAAACACAGTGACTTGCCAACTGTGTGTTGTGCATCCTATGCAGTAACTTTTTATACATGAACCATAACAATCTCCATTTCATTGGGACTTTTGGTGTATATTGAACACATGAAACAAAACTGCACACTGTGTTGACTGCTCAATGTCTGGGATTTTGCTGAGCATTGATGTACTTATAATAATTGTCATGAAGCTCATACTATCCAGGTTGACTATGTTGTTAACAAACTTGGCTAAGCTGCCACAAAACATAATTTGCCATTCATTGTCACTGTGTGATTACATTTTTCTGCTTCTGTAAAATTGTTTGCATTTGAATTCCCCATTCCCTTGGGTATTGAGGCACATAAAAATAAGATGTCTTACATGTCTTAGACTGTATCATATCCACTCCTGCCATCTCTGCCGAGCCTGTCTATAGGTCATAGTTAGGTTATGTATGTGGTTGTTATGCTTTTGTGTTGGTGCTTGTGGTCATGTAGTTAGTAACTATGTGACTGTATGTTGCAGACCATACAGGGACTGCTGACTCTTGGTGTCCTTGGCTGTTCCTGGTCTCCGTCACCCATGCTGTTGTCTCTGACCAATTATAAGCCATTTACAATCTGCATGGCATATCATGGCCTTAATCTTTTTGCAGACATGAGTTGTAAAGTCACTGACGTCTCTTTTTGGTAGCTACATCAAAATGCAAGTGCACAAATCCCTCAGGGGACTCCTAACATGAAGACAACATTTTTATAATTATTCAATGTGCTAAATCAGAGAAAAACATTAGAGAATTCAGCTATAAGGTAGGGTGACTACAAGGGGCACTGCATCCCATGACAAGTTGGGGGTTGTCTTTTTAGATGTATTTGTTTAGATGCAATGCCATGACCCCAATGCTGAATTTATGTACAGTGTAGAAAAGGCAAATTCTAGGCTTTACAAAAGACGCATGGCTGCCCACCTCCCTCATTCCTACATCCTTGGTGGTTGCCGTCAGCTTATGTTTTTGTGCAACCAGTTGTAAGCTGCTCTCATAATGCTAATATTTTATGGTGAATTCTTTGCAGGTGAATGAATGGGCAAAACGACTCAGGAAGGAAGGCTATCAACTTGACAGACAAATCAGAGGTGAGGCTGTTTGTCTTTCTTGTTGTCTCCCTGTGCAGCCATTTCGCCCACAGTTAACCTCAGCTATGCTTTGAAAAACAGATGACAATCTAAGCCTATGCACCAGCATTTCTTCCACTGTTCTTAAAGTTGTAAATATGATTGTGCAGATGAAGTCTTATGCTATGTATGTTTCTATCTGTCAGTCAACAGCATACTGCCAAATCAGAGCAAAGAGTCAAGCCTTTCATGTTTGCATGCATATTTCTTACTCTGTATTCAGCAGAGGACAGTAACTGCTCTGCTGTAAGACATAAAGGTATGATATGAACCAACAAAACACCTTTTACCATGTGGGACGAGCGAGACAATAACAGGCGTGATCATTATTACCGAATAGATTGCAAATTATGTGCCAATATATGTTAGTGGAGCCCTCCAACTGAGGCTGCTTGGTAAGGATGGCAAAGCCCTGGGTTGTCGTAGTTCCTTGAGTTTGGCAGTCGGGAGGTGCACTGGTGTTTGGCGTCCGCGCACTTGATATGTGAGATGTACCGTCCTGCACTGTATATGACTGGAATGTTGGGCGGCATTCGGCCCGCGAACGCGTGGTGATTTTGGCTGACGCTGACAATGTGAGTTGATTTAGCGTGCTTAACGTTTTGGTGTCGTAGCAGGACAATGATGCTAAAATCTCTAGAAGTTTGGTGCATATTGGCCACATGGACTATGTATCTACGGGGCTGTGGCTACTTTGACGCCACGTGTGCCTCGGCTTATGCCACAGGGGCTGTATTTGAGGTCGGTGTCGGAAAGGTGGCACCGACAGCGCTCTGGCCTATCGCCGGCGCATATATGGATCTGAGGGTGTTGAGATGGATTATTAATTTGTGGACGGTTGGTTTGCCAACAGTGTCTTGATTTTGGTCTTGACTTGCTATAATTTCCAAGATCTGAAATTAGTTCATAAAAACGCCCGAAAACAGGCAGATGGATGGTTTGTGCGTGCTTGCGCATGATGACGTGTACAGGGTGAGCCATAGTTTTGCCAGCACGATGATCTGCTTTTTCCTTCGTCAGTATTACCCTCGTCGCTGCGCCGCCTAGTCGCAAAAATTTGAACCTGTGCTTTGTCGGCAGCCCTCAGCGTGTTTTGAGGACGGAAAATTATATGTTACCCATGCTAATCAAATGATGAGTCAAACATTGGTGATATCACATTACCAAAACATGTCGCTGATATGATAGCGATGATTTTAATGCATTTTGCACATTACAACGCAACTTTTTGAATAATTCTGCTAGTCCTTAGCTTGCTGAAAATGTCATGACGTCGCGAATAGTGGTTGCGAAGACATTAGCCCGTCCGCAGCGTGGCTGGCATATGGTGATCGGCGGCTGAGCCGGGCCAGGTCACCGAAGCCACAGAGACGTTAATGACGTTGACAAACGTTGACGTTAATGTTCCGTTCACATGGACAGTTCTTTTACACAAGTCGGACGAGCGCGAAAAGCACCTGACGTGGTGGCGAAAAATGTGACGTGTCATACATGCCCGAGTGTGCTCAAATGGGATCCAGGGCGTCTTACTCGTCCCAATTAAAGCCGTACCCAACGGCCAGTTGTCCGCCTTAATCAGCGTAGATATTCAGACATGCAAGACATGGTGTCTTGAGTGCCCTCACAGTTAAGCTGATTGGTCAATTAGATTCCTCTGCAATCGATAAATCGCCTCTAATGACCGCATCGCCAATAAAGGAGTTGCGTGCCAGACATGCAAACACACCCAAAATGGCAGACGCTCCCCTTCTCTGAAAAGAACACCCAACGCCACCAGACGGTGGATAATACCCTGCGTGCTGCGGTGCTAGCTGAAGAAATGTGTGACACACCTTACAGAAGTATGCACCAGGCATTTACGCGGCTTATCGCCCCGGGCTGTGTGCACGTACACGTGCACACGGGTCAGACGATCGTAAAAAACGCCCGCGCGAACAGCCATTAGACCCGCCCGTAATAAGTGTGGCGGGACGTGTCAGGCACTCGTGTTTTGTTGGCATGCCCATCCTTCAGCATGGATCACAGTCGCAGCGGCACTGAAACTGGGTGACACTAATAGGCATGAGCCATGATGATGACGAGCTCGCCACGTCCTACGGTCTCTTTGTCGCGTGTTTCAAGTTGTCTTTTGATGTGCTTCTCATGTACGGATTTAGTAAAGCTCTTGCATCAAAACAATTTCTTCAAAATGTCGGCTCTGGACGTTGATTCATGCTTTAGTTCTGCTGAGACGCCATAATGTAACCCTTTCCCGTAATCGCGGAGAATGAATGTCTAATGAATGCAGTTTCTGTTTCCCTTAAAAGCAGGGGTTTTCAGGGGGATTTTTTTTATTTGTGTAACAGCTCACCATTTCACGCTGCTTAATTAACAGTTCAGCAGGCAACAAACGGATGTGGTGATGCGTGGAATCCTTCACCGGAGCAAAACGCTCTGCACTGCGAAATGCCTCACGCTGCCCGCCGTAGGCAAAATTCAGGCCAAGTGACAACTTGCCATTTACTTGCTTTGTGCTGCCATCGAGGATGAGCAAGTGATGGGAGGGTCTGTTTTAATGAGCTATTGCTATGTGCTCATTGATGGTGATGCATGTGTTCACTCGACACTGAAACTGTATGATGGCACTAATTTGTGATCACTTATTTGCTGGTAGTCATCTAGTTATCCAACCTCAAGGGGTGACTCATGGATGTTTTCTTATTTGGCAGGTATCCAAAGAGAAGAAGAAAAGGTGAAACGTTCACTGAAGGAGGCAGCAAAGAAGGGCGACAAAGCGGTCTGCACAGTGCTGGCAAAGGAAGTGATACACTCCAGAAAGGCCATTGGCCGTATTTACACGACGAAGGCACAGATTAATTCCGTTCAACTTCAAATGAAGCAACAGCTGGGTGAGTGTCTGTGTACCGTTCGCGCGCACAACAGCCACTGACGGCACGTCTGCGTTGCCGAGGTCATGGCAACACGTTTGGGCAACCTTTACGTTGTGTGTATACGCTTGCTTGCACAGTCTCAGTTGACCGGCGTTGTTGATGGCGGTCTGGCTGACTCTTGTGGGGGTTTGTGTCTAACATATTGTGTTCCTCCTGTTGTTGGCCCATTGGCCTTCACTGGCGTGGACCAGCGTGCGGTTACTGTTAAGACATGTGGTAGGGTGCGACATCTTTCGCAAACGTAGGGTAGTGGCAGCCGAGCAGATGTTACCAACCTCCTGTCTTTTGCAGTCCCCCCCCCCCCCCTCCCCCAGTAGCCTGCCGTCAGTCGTGCCTCGCCTATGGATACCGTCATTACTGAAAAATTCATTGATCTCGGTCTTCTTTATCCTAAACTTCAAGGAAAGTGAGCGAAGGAGTGGTGTCAGCGACGCTGGCAGTTACTACTCATGTCATCCGCACTGTCCAATTCAGAGCAGCTGTGGAAAAGTACCATTCTATTGAATAACCATTTCTGGGTTCCCAGCCCATCCCGCGCTGTGCGAGCCTCGTCATGTTTATTTGGTAACATACCCCGGCTGTGCTGCCTTGGTTGCCGCTAATCGGACTCTTGTTTTGGTGATGCGGGCGTGAAGATGACCTGCTGCTCGTCGTCATATCGGATGTGCATCGTGGCCCTCTCGAAAAACACATGCAGTGGTGCGGACGAATACACAAAACAATACGGTGCACGGAGCATAACCATTCAGTTTCTGTCTTGGATGTTCCAGCCCGCGAGTTGAAAATCTGTTACACATGTGGCAGCTGCTCGTCATGTTTGTGATGCGCTGTGGTTAGCGCGGTGTGTGACTGCACAGCAGGCGTCTGCGTCGTGCGACTGCGGGCCCGCTGTCCTGGGCTGCGTGTCTGATATGACCTGATGCGGGCCCGCCGCCCTGGGGGCTGCGTGTCTGACGTGACCTGATGCGGGCCCGCCGCCCTGGACCGCGTGCCTGGCGCTCTACCTAATGTGGGCCCGCTGCCCTGGGCCGCGTGGCGAGCGTGACCTTACGCGGACTCGCTGCCCTGGGCCGCGTATCGGACGTGGCCTGATGCGTGTCGGCCCTCTTGCAGCCCAGATCCGCGTGGCGGGCGCTATGTCGCAGAGCACTGAGGTCATGCAGGCCATGCAGCAGCTCGTCAAGATGCCCGAGGTGGCCAAAACCATGCAGGAGATGTCCAAGGAGATGATGAAAGCGGGTATCCTGGAGGAGATGATGGAGGACACGTTCGAGGGCCTGGAGGACCAGGACGACCTGGAGGAGGCCGCCCAGGAGGAGGTCGACAAGGTAGGCATCGGTCGCCCGAGCGCCGGCCTGGCTGCTGCTGGCCGCGGTCTGTTGCCGCAGCCGCCAACCATAGAGTTAGCTAAACAAATTGAACGAACATAATTAAGGTTTCACGACTTTAAACTAAATGTCTTGTGGAGTAGGGTTTATGTGTCCACGGTCCCATGTTGTGCGGAGGGAGTCGCCTGCGCACCTGTTCTAACTATCTTGTCACGTACTGTCTTTGCGGGTACTGGGCGCAGTGGACATCGTGTGTCTTCTGTTCCTACCCGCCTGTGGACTCCTGTGTGAAACGGACTTAGGATGAAATTGGGTTAGATTCGAAATCAACTCAGTGGTCATTCCAGCGTGCCGTGAATTAAGCTGAATCGCTAGCTTTTGATGTGTGTCGGAATCAGATATGATGTTATTGTGAACTGGGTCAGTAGTTAATGCTTATCCGATTTGGACGGGCATCGAATCATAAGTGTTACTGAAAATTAAATGAAGGACAGCTTTAATGAGTGATAATGGCGGATGATAATACTAATTCACTTCATTACTTGTAATTAGTTGAATTTTCATTGGATATCCATAGTTGGTCTTTTTAACTAAAGTATGCGAACGAAAGTTTATGGTGGTCATTGCATGCATGATCACGGCATTGAGAACGAGAACTAGACGAAGTTTCACTTAGTTGTATGTATTCATAGACAGGCGCTACATGCTTCAGAGAATATTGATCCATGACACTCATGAACCGGGCCGAAAAATGCATCGTTAAATGGAGCAGTGTAGCGTAGATACTGCCGGATATCTTAAACTTTCACGGCTCAGCATACAGGGTAGGGACAGTATTGAATGGCCAGCTGTGTGAATATTGATATTATGAATGGCACTGAATTTACTTGGACTGGACATAGTATTGAATTGGCAGCGGGGTGTATTTTTGCGTTGGACGTGCGCCTTTTGTTTCGAAATACACATATTGGGGTGGTGATCCAGACGTTGTTTTGTGTGATTCGGGACCCGAGCCGGAATTAGTCATGCCTGACTCCCTGAATCAACATTTTGGGCTCAAGTCATTTTGGAAAGTCTCTGTCTCGGCTCATGGTTTAGCTCGTCACTATGTTGGTAGAATCGACTCGATTTATGTGGACAATGAAGCACAGGTATGTCTCGAAGCGACAATACGCGCCCCATCCCCTTCCCTTCCCAGCTGGGTGCCTAACCAGCGCCGATCCCTCAGGTGCTGTGGGAGATCACCAAGGGCGAGATCGGCCGCGCGCCGGACGCCGTGGCCGACTCGCTGCCGGCCGCCGAGCCGGCCGCCGCCGCCCAGGAGTCGGACGGCGAGGAGCAGCTGGAGGCCATGCAGGAGCGGCTGCAGGCGCTCAGGAGCTAGTCCCGCCGCCGCGCGCCGGAGGTCAGAGGCGTTGTCGGACCGGGCGCCGGGCCAGGGCGGCCGGCGCGCGGTGGCGATGCCGCGGCCGCCGCCAGAGGCGCAGCAGCGCGTGCCGCTCGGTCGGAGCGCGCCTCCTCGCGCCGCCCCGCCTGCAGCGGCCGCCTCGGCTCGAGAGACTGCACCTGTCTTCACGACCGTAATAGAGCGATGTGCTTGGACGTCAAGCAAGTCTCCGCTCATGGAGTGTGTGTGTGTGTCTGAGCTGCGTCGCTGTGCTGTGTGTGACGCGCTGGCTTACCTGCCCGCGGAGCCAGCTTGGCCCACGGTTTACCGCGCGCCATCTGTCGGGGCTTGCGGCGCTCGGGGGCGGTGTCGGCGGGAGGCGCGTCGCCTGGCTGGCCGCCCGGCGCTGCCGGACCGTGCCGTGTGTGGCGGCTGGGGCGGCCGTGCTTGTTCTCGCCGCTGGCCGACCGGGGCCGGGGTCAGTACAGGCTAGCCCGGGTGCCGTGTCAGAGGATGACGCAGCAGACTTCGGCGCGCGTGGACGTGGTCGGCACTGTACTTCCGCCAATAGGACGTACTATCCGTTCGCACCGTATGGTATTTGCGTGAATTGTTTTAAAGCATTTTACAATACTTCGTAAAACCGCGCTCTGAAATATATATTAATTTAACTCGTGTCATCGCATACTTTTTCCCGGAGCAACTTTCCCCAGGCTAGGTTGGCCTTTTTTTAGTAAGAAAAGCCGTTTGGGGATCCTCAGATCAGCATTCATGCTCTAGGATGTGAAAACATGAATTGTTTTGAATAATCGACTCCGGTCGAAACAAAGTGCTCCGAACGGTTTGCACGGGTGACTTTGGGTTCAGAGTGCCTGCCAAGCGTGGCTCCCTGCGTGCACCCCTAACGCGCCTCCCCAATCATGTCGTCCAGGTCAGCGGATCATTGTGCCTCCATAGTTCCGCCAGGGCAAGGATGCGGATGAATAACACGTGCTGCACAATGCTGCGGCACAGACGCTCCGGGCCTGGGTTGACTGTCTTCCGGCCATTCGCCAGCTGGCCTTTCCATTGCAGTCGGGCTAAACAATGGCCGGCGCTGGGAATCGTACCTAGCGCCGCGAGATTACGAGCCCAGCATCGTTCCCCTAGGGCACCCTAGACCGTGTTTCGGCTTTACTGGATTATGATTCGCCTTTATTGGTTGTTCGGCTATTTCAGGCGCAGAATTAATTTGCACAGTTTGCGATAGAATGGGAATTGATGTGATTTGGCTTTGAAAATGCACCATTCACGGTTACGTTATTATACAATCTCATGTCTTTGCATGATCTGCTTGACGCTTCGCAGGCTGTTCTATCCTGATGGTATGTGTTAACATAGAACAAAGCATTAACACTTGTGAATCACATGTCCAGCTGGTGGGGATTGCTGCGATGTCCATTCAGATTGATTGGTTGGAAGTGTGTATGCTTTAAAATGCGGTGGTTTGGAAGACAGGTGGGCTTGTGCTATTACCGTGGATATACCATGTTTTGAACTGATGCTTAGCATATTGTTATCGTTGGTATACCAGGACATTTGTTGCTAAACATTATGTGCAGAACAGTCGTTTTCCTTGATGTTTTGTTTGCTCGGTGTTCCATCAATTACCATCAGTTGAAAGGCTGCGATACCCATTGAGGTACGCAGTGCACAGTTTATACATTCACATGCCTCGAGAAGAGTCGCGCACAAGCCTGCCCTCGTGTGCTGGGAAGGGAATGCATGCGTCAGCTGGACGCTCTCGTTCATCAGCTTTATCTGCGATCTATCTAGTCCCGGCTGTACGGGTTTACTGTATTCTCAGCATGCGGTGGTTCTCTGGGTCATAAGTGGCCCTTTCACTTCTCCTATGCCTGGTGTCTATCACTCTGGCTACTGCATTATGACTTGCTGGTAGAATTGCCGTATGGATAGGATATCTTACAGAAAGAGTGCAATAAAGAAGGCCTACACTTGGACGCCGTACGTGAAACAGGGTCCGTCCCGGTGGCTCAGTTGGTTAGAACGCCTGTCTCCCGATCTACCCACCCGTGGCGGGGTGGGTTCGAGTCGCTTTGGGCGCTAGCTGTTTGACCTTGACAGGTATGGCCCGCGGCCGGTGGCAGCGGTCACGCTAAAGGTCAGTTAACGTCAGAGGGCAGGACGGACCGTGCCGAGCATTGCAGCGCGTTAAACTTTCACCACTAAATTCCTGCCGGTACCTGGAATTGCGCGATCGGGTGGGAGGGGTCAGAGCTTACACAGCATGCACTGCTTAGCGTGAGCTCTGGTCCCAGAAATCCATCCATTCAAAGGGTTCTGATCAAGTCTTCAAAAAATGGTGTACACCAATCGATGCAGAACTGATCAGGATTGTCTTGGGTTGACCGTTTTGTCACGTACTTGTGACAAAAATCTAGACGCACAAACGTGCGGGGCGCGAAATTACACTGTCGAGCTGATTAGTGGGATCTCAGGAAGAAGTCGCGAAGTAAAGCATTGCCAGATCGTCAGAATTAACACAGACATGTGTGGCTCAGGTGACAGTACAAAACAAACCGGGCAGTCTCATTTCGCGTCATGCGCTTTAATATGAGCCCGGCACAGTTCTGAGAAAAGTGGTCGCTCCAGCTCTCGGTGGTTTTGCCCAGCCTCACTTCCGTTACAGGTGCACAAGTTGCGGTAATGCTTTAGTAGAGCCCCTCCAGATGGTTTACCAGGCTTTCTGGTATACCAGGCCGTTCACGTAACCCCATAACACATAATCAAGCCACAATACGAAAACCATCAAGTTCATGAGACTTTGAGAGCCGCGCTACCTGCCCTCCGCTTTCGGGCCGCTTTCGGAAAACGGTTTCCAGAAAACACCTCCCTGTCCCTGCGAGGTGAGGCGGTGCTCCGTGTTGTAAAATAAATGTCCCACCCCACTCCCCAAGTGCAGCTTTTAGTGCTGAGGTTTCCCCAGCATGTTCGGGTGCTTTTTGCCTGAAGCGGTGCTCTTTTCAAAGAAGTAGAGTCTGGTCATTCGATCCGAGGATGGGCACGTGGCACCTTGAGCTCGGGGCCGCCCCCTTGTGTCGAGGCGCTTCTGTGAGATGCCCTGGTCCCTCATTCGACGGTTAAGCCTTTACACATTGCCGATCGCCTGAAATTCGGATTTGCCTGACCTCATCACCTGATTCAGAAATCGCCGGTCACCTGTCCAGCTTCAACAGAATATTATTACCAACCGCTCTCTGGACGGGTTGGCGTTTGCTTCGAACATTTATACCATCTGCACTTAAAATGGCCTCGATGTTCAATGTCATTTTTGATATCATACTATGTGAGCCAGGTATTCTCAGCTTTTCACTCACGCTGTCATGCTTATTCTGAACCTCTTGACTGAACGGATTTCTGACGTCAGAGCGCTTATTAATCAGCCTTATGACGACAGTTCTGACCCCACCATCAGATCGTGAAGTTCCAAGTCAACGGGAGAGTTTGGAGTCAAAGTTTTATGTGCGGTTATGTGTGGCACGGGCCGTCCCGTTCCTTGACGTCACTTCATTCTGAGCGCTTCGACCGTCACCAGCCGTTTGACATCTCAGTCAGGGACAAACAGCGATCGCCTAAAGCGACTCGAACCCACCCAGATACGGGTGCGTAAATCCGAAGACGGGCATTTGGCGTAGAATGATCATCTCAGTCGGCATGTTCTAAAACCCCGATCATCATTACCGAAGACTGGCACTCTGACTAGCTCAGCTACTGGGATGGACATTTCACCGTTCTCACTTATGTGCTTTCCATACTAGGCTGATATTCTTACCTAACCTGCACCGCTGTTTGCGCTTCGGTTTGCAGCCCCCCCCCCCCCCTTGTTCCTTCTCACGGGACATGTTACAAGTAACTTTAGATGCCAACTGAGGATCACTGCCAGTGCATTGTAGGAAGGGCAGCCCCAAATTTGCGAGCAAATCACGTTTGAACGATTGTGTGAGTCTGGTATTGATATTTTCAGAAGAGGCAATTTATTTCCTGTCCAATCCAAACCTCTGTTCAGTGCGCGCATGATAATATTTTCTACACATGACAAAACTAGTTAATTCTGCACCGATTGGTATAATGCGCATAACTCTATGATTCGTGCTTCGCGGGTTAAAGCCATTCTGTATCGTGCGATCTACCGCACACCATGTAACAGCAAAATAATTTTGTAAGTGTTCGTGTCTTTTCTTTACCTTTTCCATTGATATATTTTACATTTTGTGCCTTCAAAGTTACCAAAATTGCTATGAATTCTTTCCCACGATGTAAGAAAGAGATATTTGACCAAGTTTGTCCAATTTCGACGTCTTTGTGTTTTGTGTGGGTTAGGCTCGCAATCTCTCGCATATTTTATGGCCATACCTTGTGCCTTCAAAAGGACTATGAAACGTTGATTTCATGTATGCAATGCATGTTCTCACACGACTCAAGTAGTGGTGAAATATAACATTGACCTAAGAAATGCAATATCTTTTGGAAATCAGTTTTCTTCTGGTCTGGCACCAATATAATATGGACATCAAGATCGCGGTGATTTTGTACGTGATTTACGTTTCAGGGCATCTAGCGCCCGCACTTAGAGTTTATCTCATGGAGAAGAGTACATATTTCAGTTGAGTTCGGCAGGTTTGAGTTGTTCATTTGTTTCTCACGTTTGTGGGTTATTTTTAGTCGATGGACACAAATTTTTGGCCGGTCGCAACGGATAATTGACATCCGAGATCCAGTAGGATTTTTCCGGCGTGTTGCAAGGGCGTAAGCTGGCAACATCAGTGGCGGAAGCAGGGTAACCAGTCAAAAATAATGTAGCCTACCCCCAAAAGACGTCAGCAAACTGGTTTCTCACCGGAGCCGGCCCTCTCAAAGTTGAGGAGGTGCTGAAGCTGAAATGGGGGGGGGGGAGCTGACCCCCCTCCCCCGACTGATTAGGGGGAACTACACCCCTG